TCTCTCTCTGGTGTTAACTTCTGTCATAGTTTGAGCCATATCAGTATTCAAGCTGTGCGCGTGTGACTACAGAGTCAGGCCTAATTTAATGGTTGTAACTAGAAAATCATATTTGTACTGTATATAAAGGAGCATCATGTTTGCAGTTAGAACTGAACAAGAGCAGGATAAGAATATCATTTTAGCCCATGAATTTTGGATAACTTAGCTGGGGGCAGATTAGACAATATATCCTGAATGAAGAAAACATTTTGGTCCAGGATGCCGTGGATTTCTCTCTAAGTATCAATTCTCTTACTAGTTAGGGAAATGATTCCTGTTGAAATAACCTCTGTGAAGCCATCTGTTACCTAAAGCAACGGAACCCTGAAAATATGTTCTTGTTTCTTCTTTGGGTCTTGAAAGGTGGAAAGAGCTGCTCGGGTAGTAATCGTAGGTGGCGGTTCTGCTGGTGTCGAAATGGCTGCAGAAGTTAAGACAACATATCCTAACAAAGAGGTATGAAGTTCAAGTCATGTTACCTTCTGTCCATCATTCACTATGTCATTGTTTTCAAAGTTAAAAGTCCTTATTGTTATCTAGAGTCAACAGAGACAAAGTGAGTGACAGTTACAAACTCATGAGTTGACAAAAAGGAGAGAATAAAATGGATGCATTTTTGAGATGTATCCGAATCCTAAGTATGGGTTATATCAGTTCTGCTGCTATAGCTTCTATACAATCTTGGAAATTGTAATTTGGTTTACAACTGTGCTTGTTTGGGAGGGGAAAAAAGTCTCTGTGAAGGCTAATTTTGTCTTTAGTGCAGATTTATCCTTACATGTGAACTGCAGGTAGTATAAACCCCTTGTCAGAGCTTCAGAGGGTTGGGAAGAAGATACTGGGAGCAAGGCAAGGGTGGGCAGCTCTGTTGCCTGATCCAGTTTAGGCTTTTTAGAATGTGGGAAAAGGGCTATTATCTAACCAATAATGAAATGTCTAAAGGAAATATTGAATAAGTAATTCACAAACTGTATGCAGAGCCACCAAAACCTTACTGTGCATACACCCTGCCTTCCATGCTACCTCACTGTTTATTACCAAACATTGGCAACCAATTTTATTGCCAATTTTTCAGGTAGCAAGCTATTTGAAAAGAGTGATCTGTAAAGACTAGGATAAAGAAGTTGACAAAAGCAAAAATCAAGGCTGATCTGTATTTAAAACTTATGGATGCTTTATACTTTGTTTTGGAATTGATAGGTTTATCTGTGAAATGACCCTTTTTTTCCTTTTCAAATGCCTGATTTGATGTATACTAACAGTATATACAGTATACTGTTCTTTATGTGTCTGTATGGAACAGTTTATCTTCAATATTGAGCAAAAGATATTTGGCAATGATAGCAAAGGTATGTAAGTTTGCAATATTGTCAGAACTTCCTTGCTTTCTTTCAGACTTTTTGGAAACATTTGGTCAGTGCAGAATATAGTATTTCGTGTGTTCAATTTATTTTCTTATTTTTTACTTTTGGCCTGCTCCTAGTTCCTGACTATGGGCATGATTGCCCGTGGCCTTCAGCGTGCCACCCAAGAGAGAAGCCTCAAAAAGTGTAGCTCCCCATGTTTTACTAGAGTTCTACTGCACTTGCTTTCAAGTAAACGTGTGTAGGACTGCAGGCTAAAACTTAACAAATGTAAATGAGCGCTCATATTTGTTTTTCCTGCTATCCACTTTGTAATTCCTTTGGGTAACTGAGTTATAAAGTGACCTTAGTACAGCTTCTCATGTAAGGCAGCAAATTCCAACCTACTGTCTTGTTGATTATTGGAACTGCCGGCCTGTAGCATTTAAGATGCTTCATCACTTCACCAAAGTGTTGCAGAATTTGATGGACATCTGAATTTAGTCTTCAGAAAAGCACCCTATTCTTCTCACAGTGATGTGAAGTCCCACCACCATGATATCTGGAAAATTATATGGCTTTCAGTGATAAAGAGGTATCTACAATGATCTTGCAATTGGTCTCTGCAAATAACTTTCACCAGCTGAACATATTGCTGTTTGTGTTCCCAGGTCACACTAATTCATTCAAAAATGGCATTGGCAGATGTCGAGCTCCTTCCGAGAGTCAGGGAGGCAGTGAAGGAAACTCTTCAACAGCAGGGTGTGCACCTTTTGTTGGGTAGGTAAATACCAGGTTTTGTTATTGGCATAACATTTTTCCAAGACTCTGAATATTTCTTCCAGTGGAAGAACACTAAACCCTAAATATGGTCATTTCCTATAGAATAGAGATAGGTAACCTTGCTGTCACTGGAGGTTCCACTTTTTGCCAAACATATAAAGATATATGGACTGTATTTTGTCTCTGTGGGACCCAAAGAATGTAGCACTGACAGATTACCAGAGAGATAGAGGCAGGTTTTTTAGGCCTTTTAAAAAATATATTGTTAAGACTTTGGTGAGAGTAAAAAGAAAATAAATCCTTTGAGCCTACAGCATAAAAAAAGACAGGTGGCATACAAACAATACAGGCTGCAGATTGTTGTCCCCCTCAGCTCTAGGTGCTTCTAGACCAATTAAGCCTGTTTCTCATGAGACCAGGTATATATTTGGGTATGATCACCAGATTCAAAATAAGATACATCTCAGTCAAATTTAGCTACTATGATGTCTTTAGTGGCTTGTTAAAAATACATGAGAGCAATACTTGGAAAAGGTGCATGACTCTTGCTGCTATACATTTTATACATTTGTAAGTTTATAGACTTGCAGGCCCATGTTCAAACTGAGGCATGTGATTTATTTTATTTTCCGCATGATGAAAAATATCTCTTTAAAATTGGCCTGTAGATGCTAGATGTTAAGGACCTGTGGTGATCCAGGTTCCAAAGGATAAGAATTTGAGTTGGCAGCTCCTTAAATGAAACACGCCTTTTCTCAGGATTGTGTGGGATTGTAGGAAGAGATGCAAGTTCTTAAGGGGTGACAACAGCTGTGATTGTGCATGCTTAGACGTGCTCTGAAACATTTTTCCTTTTTGAATTTGGATAGCTGTACAGCCCTATTAGATGTTCTGGTAAACTGCCTTTTCCTTAAACTTTTTAACTAGGTGGAATAGGTTGTAAACCTGTTTGAGAGCCATAGAACTGAGTGGTTTCCCTTTTTCTCCAATTTCATGAAAGAAATTCAACCCTCTCTTGTCTTTGATGCTCCATCAGGAAGATTGAAAAGCGGGTGTGGTTGTACCAGGTAGACCTGGATTCAAAGCTTTTCAGTTCCATTGCCTCTCACAAGGAAGGGATCACGTGCCACCTTTTTTCTTGCTTAGTATAAGCCCAACTGAAGTCATAATTTGCAACTCCTTGCTGACTCCTTTTTCCAGCCTAACCTAGTGCTGTAGCTTCAGCTGCACCAGCTAGAGCTGCTAGTTATATTTTGCATATCTGAAGGGAAACAAATTGCTTTGCTTTATAACCAGGAGAGACAGCAATAAAGGATGGAAAGTGGATGCTTTTAATTCTCTTTAAAAGCATCCACTTTTAACAGAATTAAAATTAATCAACATCCTCTCAAGTAATACTTTAAAGCCTAAGTGGGTTTTGTAGCTTCACAAGTTCAGTGAAATGCAATGTCTTCTTTTTGGCTCTTATAATAGATCAGAAAGTTTCTAACCTCCATATGCTGTCCTTAAACCAATTCAAGGAGAACATGATGGTGAAGACTGATAAAGGTACAGAGGTTACTGCTGATCTGGTTATTCTCTGCACTGGAATAAAAATCAACTCTTCAGCATATAGCAGTGCATTCAGTAAGTTAATTTTCACCCTATTCCACTTATTCTTCACACAAATTCTTAATTAGTGCAGGTTCCATGTTCTATTTCAAATCTTAGTTGGCATTCTTTACCAATGCTCCAGTAACTTTTTAAAAAAGAATTATTGACTATCTTTAATTATAATACTGCTACTCTTTTAAATGACCACTTGGAAGATTATTCACAGGATTGGCTCTTTCATGAAATATACAAAATGCCTTTCTTCAGTCACAGTTATGATTGGAGACAGCAATATTATATGCACGCAGCTTGGTGTTAAGTGTAATTAGGTTTAGTGGCATTTACTTGAGCAGATACATATAGGGTTAAGACCAAAGAGCATACTATTATTAAGTGATCTTTGTTTAGTTTTGCTGTGGTCATACAAAGATAGATCCAACCCATTTTTCAAAATGGAGTATTTCATTGAATAAAGTGGGCAAACATAAAATAATCCACCTAACCATTTTATGTGTATCTCAGATTTCATCTTGTTTGGAATACAAATAGTTTTTTATACTAAAAGTAAAAAGAGCTATGATCAGTACAGGTACATTTTTTTAAAAAAATATAGCTTTTTGCTAATATTTGATATTCATAGATGATTTCCTTCTGTCCATACTTAGGAGACAAGCTGGCAAATAATGGTTCTTTGAAAGTGAATGACTACCTTCAGGTTGTGGGATATGATAATATCTATGCCATTGGTGACTGTGCTGATGTGAAAGAGCCAAAGATGGCATATCATGCTGAGCTCCACGCGAATGTTGTGGTGACCAATATTATCAACAGTCTGACTCAGAAGCCTCTGAAAACCTATCAACCAGGTCAGACTATTAATTACATCTTTTGTGTCTTTCAGAAGCGTGCATCCTTAACTAAAATGCTATACAAAGAAATATTAACAAATATTTCATGGTATCTAATTGTAATGATATTTTGAACCTAGCATTGTAGAGAGATAATCAGACATGGTATACTCTTGTACTGCTGTTCTGTACAATATCTTCTTAATTGTTTCCTAACCAGGATGGATTTTGTATAGAAAACAGAATAATGAATCAGTAAGTAAACCAGTTATTAGTATGGCTTGGTATACTCTACAATGTTTTACTCAGTATTTATAGAAGAGCATTGCTATTTACTAAAATACTCAAAAAGCACCCCCCCCCAAAAAAACCCTTCAAAGATTTTAAAGAGAACATTAAGATAATTAATACAAATACTACAGCTCACAGAAGTACTGCTGGTGCTCCAGTTTAACATTTTGGCAACTTCCTGAAAAGCGTAAGCCTGATTTTTTAAGCTTTCCAATCATTGGAAATTGAGTTACTATAGCCAGATGTAGTAAGTTCAGACTCTAAGTCCAATAACAATTTTCTTTTTCTGTAAATAATTTTGTGTCTCCTCTTTAGGATCACTTACCTTCCTGATCTCCCTGGGAAGTAATGATGGAGTGGGACAAATCAGTGAATGGTATGTAGGGCATCTCTTAGTGACTGTTGTCAAAAGTAAAGATCTTTTCATCTCAAAAAGTTGGAAGAAGATGCATCAGCATATGCCAAGCTAGAAATGGAACTGCCAAAAACAAAAACAGAACTGATGGTACCTGTGATGAATTAGTAATGCATATTTTGCTTCCATTAAAAGTGGCAATTGTCTTTAGGAAACTAAGCATAAAACCTAGATTGTAGATTGTATCAGTAGATCTTGGCAGAAACTATATTTCACGTTAGGCTATGGAGTTTGTATGTTGTTAATCAGCTAACATGGATTTTGTAAAATTGATCTGAATTAAAGTTTGAATGGAAGAATTGATCATCATGCAATTCTAGTACTCAAAACAAGGTTCAGGCTCAGAATTTTTCAGTTCCAAATATGTCTACACAGTGCACATACACTGGTGTGCTATAGTGTGTAAAAGCACTCTTAAGTGTTCTTTAGCACTTTAATTCAACTGTTAATTGGAAAAGAGTTAGTGGTGGGGAAAAATACCAGTGCCCTTAAGGCAGAGAGAAAGGTAGAACTGTAACTAGCACTTCCCATGCAAACAACCAATTTCTGCAACAAGTGAACAAAGTTATCTTACTTCAGCACTGAATATGCTATTAAGGGGGCTAGAAAGCTACACTAAGATTGCTCTCTATGCTGTAGTAGCACTAGAGGCACGTGAGGGAATTGTGGTAGATAGTATTTCTCAGCTTTCACTTCAGTTTGATGAACTTGCTAATACAGAAAAAGATCTCTCTTACAGCCTCTCCAGGGAAGGTAGCACTGGTGATTCAGCTATGATATGCTCAGAAGATAATACAGAATTAGCACCAGTGGGGGGTGCTCCTGATTCCTATGGCAATGTGAAACACAGAGTACAGGCTGTGATTTGAATTACAGGAGAACACCAGGGGATCATGTTCTTTTACCTGACTGCTTAGCTCCTAACATTAGGCAACTTCCTTGAAATTCCATAGAAAAAGTTTTAGTTCCAATGAAGATGGAGCTGGCTTTTAATAGGTCTTGTATGGCTATGACTTATCTTGCCTATTCATTTCAAAGGGTTATAATAATCAGAACTGTGGGGAGGACAATTGCACAATCATGGAAAAGACACAGCTGCTTTAAGTAGCTGTATACAAGTGCTGCCCCCATGTGCTTTGAAGAACCTTTTTGCTTTGAATCCAAAGCATTGCATAGCCTTAACAGCCAGCCAATATTTAATACTTCCAAGGGAACAAGTATAGAAGCAGTTCTCTGTAAAGCAAGGTTTAATTTTCCCCTTTCCATACTTCTAGCTACCATTATGTATTTATTTATGCTGCATTCACACTTCTATCCACTTGTTACTAATGGCCAGATTCTCTAAAGTTTCTGTTTGCACTAATGAAGTTAAAGACACCAAAATCAGTCCGGCAGAGCTCCCTCTTCCTTTGGCAAGTACTAATAGTAATATTGAATTTGAGAGCATTAACAGAACTCTCTTCTTCTTCCAAGAAACTTCTTACCTCTGAAGTCACTTTAACTTTTTATGGAAACGAACATGAATAAAACCCTCAAGGTTAAAGTTTTAAAAAAGCATGATGCTATTTTTTATCAAAACAAATAAGATGAAATATTTTTCAGCAATTACAGGTCATTCTGGGATAAAACAGTAAAGCACCAAGTGAGTCAAAATTATCTTCTCCAACATGGAATGTAGACACAACATAAGGGTTTCTAACTACCAGTGGAAAATAAAGGGAAGCAAACAATTCACATTTTTTTCAGTTGTTGGATGCATTGAATTGTTTGCTACTCTAAAATGAGATTATTTTTTTTTAAAAAAAGGTCTAAACTAAAATAACTTGAGACATTAAAATGTAGAGAGCTGGCAAAATAATTTCTTGGGGAAGATACAAAATGTAGAGGGTCTAAAGCATGATATATCTGCAGATCAAACTCTCTCAAACAATTCCCCCTTTCTCCCCAATAACAAAAGCCCTCCACCCATCACAAAACTTCAAAGCTACTCACATACTCCGTCCTCACAATATTTTAAAAATAAAACCCACTTCTAATTCTCATTCCTACTCATATTCATGTTGAAAAATAAATTTTCATTTGGCTTCTGTTGCTACTTTGCATCTAGCTTTGCCATCTCTTGCACATAGATGCCAATGCTCTCACTATCAAAAAGCAGGAAGTAAATGTTCTTCAGGGAAGAAGGACTGGAGTCATCAAAATGGGAGGAAATGGCTTTCAGAGTCACCTGGGCTGCAGTCTGTTTTGGAAAACAATTTCTAAACAGAGGAAAAAGATAGCTATTAATGTTCAGTAGCGAAGTATGAAGTCTTAAAGGCATAATTTATTGTATATTGTAAGTAAGTAACTAATGTGCTGAATCTTACTTCTCATGAACCCTACATTTCAACAAATGTTTACTGGGCTCAATGCCAAGTAATGTACAGGTTCATCCCTCTAGGTAGCTAATTTACAACAAAGTTTCCTGCCATCCAAATGTAACAGCACTCAAAAGATGCAGATGTTAGTGTGGAATGACTGGTAAAAGGCAAAGGATATATTGGAAAAAAATGCAGGCAAATAACCCAGTAGATCCAGCCAAATGTGAGGTGGGAAAATGGAAAGCTGAACTTAGAACAGACAGATCAAAGATCAAAGTAACTGCTGGCGTGTGATACCACTTTGGAAATGCAGAAGCAGTCAAAATAATGTGATCACAAGGAGTTTCCAGAAAATAGTCCTTCGTGAGCCTATTAGGCCACAAAGTTTCAAACATGAGATGGAATATGAAACCAAAGAAAATTTAGCAATTGTTACAGCAACTGAAAAAAGGTTCACCTATTAAATGGGTGAAATCTAAACATATAGATATCATGCAGTATAGGAGTTTTTCAGAGTGTGTGAAAGATTTATGCTGGCAAGCTGAGAAGCTATTTTCTTAAATATGTCATAAAGTGTTATGCAGAATTTTAATGAGTGCCGACAAACGTCTGCCAATAAAGGATATCTCTAGTTTGTCCACAGTCATTCTCTGGAGACTGAGTTGAAGGCTATTTTTAAATGCCACATATAGGACCACCCTAGGTTGTGGTATATATTTTTCAATTAGATGTTATAGGACCAGGTGCTATTTTCTTAACTATGTCACAAAAGGAACATACTAATTCTGTTAGAGATTTATATAGTAAATACCTGCCACTGGGGAAAGGTGGAAAAGCCACAGACTTCAGCTTCTTGTCTTCAGCAGCAGTTAAACAGTTCTTTATTGTCTCCTCCAGTTGTTCTTCACATTTGTCTGAACCCCATTGTGGGATGTGACAGTGAATGACAAATTTTGCTGCTAGACCAGTGGACTGGCTGAGAGCAGCTGAAGGGAAAAAGATGAGTCTATTGCCTTAGACAGAACTATACCATTTACGTATCACCTACCACTTCTCCAGTAAAGCTCAAGACATGGGTATGGAGCTGGACTGGTCGCCATTCCTTGAAAACTCTCAGAGAACATTTCAGAGAAGTTGGGCCCAAACAATTCCCCATCCCACACTGGCTTTTTCTCATCAGGAAGATTGTTTGTTTATTTATTTAAAACATTTGTATGGCTGCCCATCTTAAAGCCAAACTCTGGGTGGTTCACAATCAAAGAAAATAATATATAAGAGCAATAAAAACAGAAAATAGTAAAACCAAAAAAACAGAAAAACAGAAAAACCTAGTACCATAAACAAACTTTCCCAACACAGCCCACAATATTTTCCTCCCACTCCAACCTTACCCTGTCCCAACACTTGGGGGAAAAGCTGGCTCTTAAGCGCTTTCCAGAAGGATAAAAGGATAGGGGCCTGCTGAATCTCAAGGGGGAGGGTATCCCCTAGGGCAGGGACTGAAACAGAAAAGGCATGCTTTCAAGATCATGCAAGATGGCAACATTTGAGGGAAAGGACCTGGAGTGTGCCTACCCTATCCAATCTGCTGAGATGGGCAGATACCGTCGAGGAGAGGTTGTCCTGCAAATAATCTGGTCCTGTGCCATGTAGAGCTTTAAAAGTGATAACCAGCACTTTGAATTGCACCTGGAAGGAAACTGGGAGCTGGTGCAGCTTGTGCAACAGGGGTGTAATGTGGGTGAACCTAGGGGCACCTGTGCATGCCACTGCATAAAAGATCAACAAGTCAAAGGTTGTTGATTTGGCTTCAATTTCCACCTTTTGTCCTAACTCTGGAGTTGGGATTCCCATGCAACAGTCAAGAGAATCTGTCAGAATCCTCGTAATCAATCACTTGCACTGCTAGTTTGCTTGCTTCGTTTCTGCCATTACAGTGAAGGGGAGAAAGGGAGGGAAGGTTGGAAGGTTAACTGTTAGGTGCAGATGGACTATTATCTGGCTCTCAGGAATGCCCAAGGTTGTACTAACGTGAGAGCTGGAGAAAAGTTTTGACATGTGCAAGAGAGATTCAAAGACAGAAGGGGGGGGGTGAAATGGGAGTGAGGTAAAACTAAGTTTTGGTGCACGTGGGACTCAGTTCCAGCTATGCTCTAGAGCTGTTCGCTACTTTCCAATAAATGAACTTTCCTTTGAACCTGCCTTGGTTTCAATGAGAGTTGCTTTTGTTGGGAACTGAGTATTGTGGTTCTTACAGAATCCTGCAGTTTCAAAATTAGAAGTAAAGGTGGTTGTTTGTTGTACTTCAGGCTAGAGGCCCCATACATGCTACAAGGATGCAGAATTATTTAAGCTTGGCCTTTGTGGGAAAGTGGGAAAGAAGGAACTGTAAAACAATATAATTTGGCTTAGTTGATTTTACCTTAGCCATCAACCAAAATTACTCTCTGTCATTGTTTATATAAGGGCTCTGATGTTTCAGTTCTGTCAAGCTGCCTATATCTTATGGAACATGCTGTCATTTATATTTTTTTCAGGAGGGAGGGAGTTTAATTTTCTTTTCTCTCTCTTAACTGGATGTATTTGAGATCACTACTACCCACATTCAGTTCATTGACTCTACCTGAGGACAAACTTGAAACTGAAGATGTTCAAACATTAAGCCTATTTTTTTGCATGTATTCCTTCTTTCTCACTCTATTTTTATAGAGTCATCTAAAAGGATGCTTCTCTCAAATGCTTACACATCTTTTTATATTAATTTGATTGTTCTAATAAAGGGATCACTCAATTATTTTGTACTGATTTTTTCCCATAGGCCAGTATTTACTTAAATGTGACTAAGATTGCATTTTACATAATTAACAAAGATCTTACCTTCCGTGACTTCCAAAGGTCCCTGTGATTTACGAAGTTCCTTTACAGTTTCTAAGAACTCTTTACCACCAGCTTTTTCCAGTGCTTTGCCTGACCAAAAAGGAAAAAAAAGAACATTGAATAATATTTTTTTCCTACAGGGACTACTGAAATCTGATAGTCTTTAAGCCTTTTGATAAGGGTTGAAAACTAGGAATTGTAATTGTTCTAGAACATTGTAAGTACTGCAGACAACTAAAAATGTGTTATATACATGCTTACTAAAGAATAAACGTTGAATCTGAATCTGCATCTCTGCATGTATACGTAAAGACCTGTTCAGCAGTTAAATCAGAAACATAGCCTACGTTTATTCTTTAATAATCACGTATATAACACATTTTAGTTGTCTGCAATACTTACAATGTTCTAGAACAATGACGCTTCCTAGTCTAGAACCCTGATCAAAAGGCTCAAAGACTATCAGATTTCAGTAGTCCCTGTAGAAAAAAAAATTACTATTCAGATTTTTCAAGTATTTCTATCTGCTTCAAAATAATTTTAGACTTACCTACTTCCTCTTTGAGGTCTATTTCACCAGTAGTTGGATGCACAATGCCTTCTACTTTCATAGAACCAATATGGTTGATGTCACTTTGTGTCAGAGATAGCTGCAAAATGCCAATGCAACAGGAGGAGCAAAAAAAAAAAAAAAAAGTAAATTTGAAGAACTCTGCACAAAGATTATGAACTACTGAAGCTAGTCCCCAAGAAACATCTTATAAAAATCTGTAACCAGCTTGTTCCCAATTTTATGTTCCCAGCCACCTGTCATCTAGAAATAAGGATGCCACTGACTGTCCTTCGTTCATGAACTTGTTTTCCCTCTTTTCAATATTTGTAATTTTATTAAAGTCATCAAATATAAACTTTATATGGTACTTTCCATCCCCAAACTTGTGGCTAGCAATATCTTTAGTTAGTTATGAATTGTATGAAACAATATCTTCCTTCCTCCATACTAAATTATAGCCATTTCATTTCATCTTGTTATTCCTAGGCTCTTCTATGTGTTAGTTGACTTGTGAAGTTAGCTGTGAACACAGTAACAAGTTTTACAAATAAAACAGTGGTATTTTATCTCCATAAGTAAAAAAGAATTCTAATCATCCCTACACTAAGTTGCCTGTCATCTTTTAAAGCCAGTATTTGTAATCAAATAATCTAATCATCCAACCACAGTTCAGTTATACATGTGCACAGTAATAACTGGGCCTGTGAGCCTATGCCTCCACTGGATATGTTGTGACAGTAATACAACTAACTATTCAAATGCAGGACAAAATAGGATGCTGTGTACTCATGCATACTACTTTATCTCCCAAATGAATATTCTTAATATCCTAATTAGTATACCTACTCTCAGCATCTGCACTGGAGAAGGAATCATGGACTGAAGCTATGCTTTCCTTCCCTTTTGTCTATTGCTAGCTCAGGACATAAGATTTTTCCATTTACTCTATACATATACGTATTTGTGCCTAAAATTATATTCAATTTATTGCAATAGAAAGTAAATATCTATTCCTTTTAATTTGCATAGATAAAATCACTTTGGAATTTCAGTTGACTAGCTTGCACTTTTCGAGACATCAAGGTTATGCTGATGTAATTCCAGAATCTTGAAACCCATATGATTTTATGAAACACTTTTTCAGGGAGATACCTTTTTATATGCAATAACTAAATTAAGTACAGACATTCTGAAATATTTTCTGTATCTAGGGTACCTTCTGTACCCAGAAGGTAGCATGTGCAACTGCTCTTTTTTTGGCCTCCTACCCTCTATCCTCTGGAACCCGTCTCCAGAGGATAAAGACTACTCCAGGATAACTGGTGACAGGACTGTTCAGGCTGCACCAAGAAGGGGAATGTTGCTGAAAATCAGTTGAACAAATCTTGCATTACTCATTCAACCAATTGAGGCAACTAATTAGAGTACTAATGAGTTCAGATGTTTTTAACAGTTTTAACAATGGACTTCTAGGAAAAGATGAAACATGGAATAAGATGTTACTTTTGTATTGCAATTAAAATTATATTCTAGTGCATAAGAGACCTGCAGCATGTTTCATTTTATACAAGCCAAAAATGTGTGAGTTAGAGCATATAGCTCCTAAGTGATATTCTGCAAATAATTTCTTGATGAAGTAATTTCTTAAAAGAAATAAGGTAATATAACGATGTTTCCTGACTGAATCTTTCGCAAGGAGAAACAAGTATGTTTTCACTGGAGAATATTTTTGAACTACTCTCTATTAGAGAATTTTACCTTTACCTTCTGTCCAGGAACAAGGCTTTTGGAAGAAAGTATAGTGAATCCATCTCCAGGTCCATCATCAGCTGCTGAATTGGATGCTCCATCTTTTTCATTTTCCTTCTGTTTATTCTATTAAAAAGAATATTAAATAGTCAAAAACAGAAAAGCTAAGAGGAATATTTGGAATCCAATATATATTTTAAAAGTTCTTTAAAATGTACCCATAAATAATACTATTCCATAATATAGCTATAGGTGGCTGTTTTTTCTAGTGGAAAGAAATGTTTTGTAAATACAAGGGAGGAAAAATTTATGCCAATTTACATATTTATTTTTAAGATGAGAAAATTCTAATAAGTTGAACTGATATCTCATTTTATATTCGGATATGATTTTCTATGAAGTAGTCCTTTCACACAAGTTGCTTACCGTCAGAGGCAAAAAACCCCAAAAAACAAAAACTCACAGCTAATGTTTTCTCTAATGTGGTAATTTTTGGTTTTCTGCATAAGGTACTTTTTCACATTAAGAAATTCTGTGTAAAAATGTGACAAAAATATTCTACTGTGCAAGGAACTTACCATCTCTTGAGTAAAATTATCACTTGACTTTAAGTGGATACAGTGAAGGTAGTGGAGAATATATGTAGCTCAGGACTGAACTGTTGGGTTTTTGGTGTTCTTTGAGCTCACTTTTCTTTTTGTAGATGTGTCGTCACCAGGCTCAGTAACATCATCAGTGCATGGGGGAATGGAGTTTGCTGACTGATTATATATGGCAGCTTGCCTACCAGTACTGACCAGAGTACTGTTTCTTCTTTGCTTGTTCTTGTTCATTTGGTGCTAGTTCCTGTTTATCTGGGTGTTGGTTAATGAGTATGTCATGAGGAAGGATGTATTTAGGGTTGTTTACCCCTTTCTTTGACCTCTAGTTGCTTCCTTTTTTGGAATGGTTTATAAATGGAGCTTATCTCAATGGCTGATTGTCAGAGTGCCAAGCCCCTAGGAATTCTCTTGCATTTTTCTATCTGGCTTGTCTAAAATGTCTGCAGTTTCAGAACTGAAATTGAGTTTGAACTTGTCAGTGTGTTGTGACATTAAGGAGTTTTCATCATGTCTTCTGACTGCCAATTGATGTTCATGTATGTATTCCGTCATCTTCTACTTGTTTGCCCTACAGACTGCCTTTCATAGCGGTTGTGTTGTATTGTAAATGACTCTTGTTTTGTTTTCTTTGGCTGTTGGATTCTTAGATTTGTTTATAATGCTTTGGACAGACAGAAACAGTAATCCAATCAAGCTACCACTTATAAACAGCCAGCAAACTCCACTCTCCCATGCAATATATTATTATTATTATTATTATTATTATTATTATTATTATTGCTTACAAAATTCAGAAACAATAAAAACAGTTAAAAACATTCAACAACCTGGGCAGCCTGGTCTAAAAGAATCATAACAATAACAAATCACCCCAGTGGCCCCACAAATACATTAATCCCAGGCCTGAGACCAAAGCCAGGTCTTAAGGGCTTTTTGGAACTCCAGGAGAGAAGGTACCATCTATATCTCTGGGGAGATGTTGTTCCAAAGGATGGGGGCTGTGACAGAGAAGGCACACTTCCCCTTGGTCCCTAAGATGACAACATTTAATAGAAAGGACCTGGAGTGTACCCATTCTATCAGAATGTATTGGGCAGGCAGAAACAATTGGAGATAGGAGGTCCCTCAAATATCCAGGCCCTATAATATGAAGGGCTTTATAAGTAACAACCAGCACTTTGAACTGTACCTGGAAGCTGACTGGCAACCAAAGCAGATTGCATAGCAGTGGTGACACACGGGCATACTGAGAAGCGCCCATTTCTGCTCATGCTGCTGCATTTTGTACCAGCTGTAGCTTCCAGATGGCCTTCAAGGGCAGCCCCATGTAATCTGCATTGCAATAATCCAGCTGTCAGGTGACCAGGCATGAGTAACTGTCTGAAGGGGCTCCTGGTTAAGGTAAGGGTGTAACTGGCACACAAAATGTGCAAAGGCCCTCCTGGCCGCAGCTTCTACCTGGTCTTTTAACAGTAGCTATAAGTTGAGAAGAACCCCCAAGTAGCACACCAGTCTCAAATGGGGAAGTGCTACCCCATCCAAGACCAACGATGGAAACTTTCCCAACCCTGGTGGGGGGGCAAACAGCCACGGCCACTCAGTCTTTTCAGGACTGAGTTAAAGTTTGTACTGCCCCATCCAGACCTGAACAGCCTTGTGATGCTGGGTCAGTACATTGACAGCTTCACTTGTGCAGCCCAGGGTTGAGATATACAGCTGGGTATGACAGTGAACCTCGAACTGATGGATGACTTCACCTAGCGGTTTCATTTACAGGTAGTCCCCGGGTTAAGAATGCCCATTTTATGGATGACCCATAGTTAAGAACGGAGCCTACTGTAGCAAAATTCGAGTTAAATACACAATGGTTCGAGTTAATTATACAATACTACTTATACAAAATAATACAAATTTGGCTTATACACAAATTTGACTTAAGGACAAACCTTGGACAGACCTTCTTAAACTGGGGACTACCTGTAGATGTTAAACAAGAGAGGAGAATGTTGAGCCCTAAGGCATCATGCAAATGAGGGGCTGCAGGTGCAACCTCTCCCCCATTGCCTGTACTGACTTAAATAACTTTACCTAGCCTGCTAATGAAACATCTGCAAAAAGAAAAGCAAGTTCACCAAGAACCCAACAATGAAGATAAAGTGCTAGCATTAAGCATAAATACTTTGTTAACTTGTTACATTTGGCTTATTTTAATTTAGGCCATCTAAATACTAACATATAGCTTTAATTCAATAAGTTAATTCAACCAACAATCCCAGGGAATTTGAAGCAAAGCAGTCAATACCTGTACTAAAATGCCTGCATGTTACTTAATTCTTTACATACTGGGGTCACTGACCAGAATATATGCATCCGCTTGTTCAAAAGACATATTGCTGGTTTTCAGGTTAAAAACCCTCACAAAATGGATTGTAACTTAAAAGTACAAGATATATAAGTAAACTCTTAAAACAATATTCAGTGCATAAAATAATTATAATAAAGTTAACAAAAGAGCAAAAGCAAGTTAAACCTTAGTACTAAGCACAGTACACTAAAATTAATGAACACCCAAATAAATGTTTTTAAAATCCTTCTGAAGGCCAGCTGGAGTCCTTACACAGTTCCTGGAGAGGGAATTTCAAGTATGAAAGGCCATCAGAGACAAAACCCTGTCCTTGGTACACCAATCTTAGAGTTACTATTCATAGGTCTGATAGCAGGTTCTTAAATGCTTATCTTAAAGGTTAGGAAGGTTTGTACAAGTGCAAGAAATGTATGGCCTTAAAGGGTAACATCAGCACTTTGAATTGGGCCTGAAAACAAATAGGCAACTGGCATACCTGTCACAGAGGCACAGTATAGGTGTAATGTAATTATAGTACGTATAACCATTCTGGCTACTGCACTCTGCATCAATTATAGTTTTAAGATTGGTCTAAAGAGCAGACCCACAGATTACAGTAATCCAGTCTGACTATGCCCATAGCATGTGTTACTCTCAAGAATAAGTTCATGGTTGGCAAACTAATCAAAGGTGGTAAAAGCAGATATTTATAATATGCAAAATGGTTACCCATAATCAAACATGCATCTGCCTAGCTTTCAAGAGCATCTCTTATTAATACATCTCAGTGGTTGATCTTTCTTACAATTTGGAATCTAAACATTCAGTAACTATTTCATGACCTATGAACTGAAATAAAATATAAACACTGGAACTATTGTATTGTTGAAGGCTTTCACGGCCGGCATACGATGGCTGGTGTGGGTCTTCCGGGCTGTGTGGCCATGTTCTTGAAGTTTTGTTTCCTAACGTTTCGCCAGCACCTGTGACCGGCATCTTCAGAGTGCAGGAGCACAGACAGGAGCAGTTCTCTCTGTGCCCAGGCTACAGAAAACCCACCCACACAGACCGGTACCTACACAAAAACTCCAACCACCACCCACG